TACTCAGGCTTAGTGGGTTCATCAAGAAATTTTGAATCCTCAACAAGATGAGGAACTGCATCAACTCTAAATCCATCAACTCCTTTGTCAAGCCAAAACATTAGCACTTCCTTCAAAGCCTGGCGCACCTCAGCGTTTCTGAGGTTCAGATCGGGTTGTTCAGGACAAAACTGGTGCAAATAATACTGTCCTGTTCTGGTATCGTAGCTCCATGCGCTTCCCCCAAATACACTGACCCAGTTATTAGGTACCCCACCCCCTGGGGAAGGGTCATTCCAGACATACCAGTCTCTTTTAGGACTCTCTCTACTGGCGCGACTCTCAAGGAACCATGGGTGTTCATCTGAAGTGTGGTTAGGTACAAAATCCAGCACAAGTTTCATGTCCCTTACATGCATCGCTTTTAAGAGTTCATCAAAGTCATTCAGATCTCCAAAGAGAGGATCAATGTCTGTGAAGTCTGAGATGTCGTAGCCATTGTCCACCATAGGAGATTTGAATATTGGGCTCAGATATAAGATTTTGATCCCCATGTATTCAAAATAGTCCAGCCTGTTCATTATTCCCCGTAAGTCGCCATTTCCATCGCCACTCGAGTCTTGGAAAGATCGAGGATATATATGATAAATTACGCTCTCTTTCCACCACTTTTTCCGCTCATTCTGCTCTTTTCGCGCTTTGTATCCCTTCAATAGAGTAAAAATCACTGCGTTTAAGATAATTGCAGCTAAAATCGCCACAATCATAGGCCACATTGCACCTAAATCCTCGGCCACCATTTTTTTCCCCAGGCGAACACCGCAGAGGAGAGAACTGGGACCCAAATTCAGAGATGCAAATAACTGGTTCCTTTGCCGACGAATAAACAAGTAGCAACATAATGCGGTTAATACAACATAAACAGCTGAAAGTCGAATGATATCATTGCTTTATGACTTTGATATAAGTCAAGATTTGAAAGAAACAGCAAATTTTACTGACGATGTCAACAAAGGCACATCGCAGAGCAAGCTACGAGGACAGAGTGGACCAAGACAGCCGATTGACAGGCAAACACATACGAACTTTGTTACACCTGCAAGATTTACACACCGAAAACGATCTTTTGAAAGCTAGAATTGCTGAACTGGAGCTTGAGGAGGCAAAAGCTGCCAGATGTGATCTTCTGGAGCGTGAAGTAGAGAAGTTACGGGTAAGACTTTGTGAAGTTTCTCTCTCTTCTGCAGGTTAATTTCAATAACAGACCTAACTATAGCGCACACAGCACAGGGGATCAGCTGTGATTAAAGTATACAGTCAAGGCCATTTTTATTTAAGACTAACATTTCATAATTTACCTGGTATTGTAAATAATGAAATTTTACTCTCATTAATCTCTATCGATCATACTTGTTCAGACAAGATGTCTGCTTATTTGAAATTCTGAAATTCAACGAACCAAGACTGGCTCAAAGTCCAAATGTGGGAATTGTGATAAAAGTGACGTTAAGGAGCTCTGACTGCCACATTGCTGCAAAGAAATTAAAAAACAACATATTACTGCGCAAAAAAATAAAGGAACGTGGACTAGGCATCAAGTTTCATTCCCACTCATGTTTTTCACACACAGTTGGATGCATCATAAAGCTATACTACATTCTTGCATAGAATGTGGTCATAAAGTCTGTTTGCTACTCATTATTTAGGCCTTATGGGTGCTTGCATACATGTTACTTGTGCTAGTCACTCTTCACCAATATGTTGATTTTGAGTCTTGAATAAAGTTTGCAACCATTGATCAGTTTGTTTCATATCCTCTTTAAGATGTTTTAGAATTTTTGACCCTTGATCAAATAGTTCTGAAGAGAGTGTCAAGCGTCAGTGATTGTGGAACACAGGTTCACTGATCAAGAAACCACCATATTACATTTTTTTTGTTTGGCCATACACTGGAGCTTTCTTTACACAAAGAATGCACACTACAGGATTAGGGATCACTGAATTACCACATGAACAACTGAACAACACTGCAAATACTAATGTCCTTCTAGATAATACTAGAGAGTTCTTTGTCAATATCCAGCTGCCTTCACCTCACAAAGATATTCACTAAGATATATCACTCATGAAGCACTATCTGTTGTGCAACTAAATCCTTTGTCCCCCAAAATCTAGACCATCACTTCCATCAGTGTGAGATGTGGTCATAATTTGAAACTAATCATGGTGGCTGGTTCTCATTTTATTTCTCATTAGCATTTTTCATTTGCCATAGCAGTTGTAGCAATCATGTTGGTTTTCAGTAAGTTATTGTTTTTAAGAGATTTATGACCCATTTTATGAATGACAGCAGTAAAGACCATGTTTACACTGAACAGTTTACCAATGTACACAAACTGTTGAACTGTCAAGAAGACTTAATTAAATACTAGAGAGTTGTTGAAAGTCTAGCACAAATTATGTCACATCCAAAATGACTTTCGCTGTTGCAGTCTTCTTAATTTAGTGATCAGTTGCAGTTAAATAAAAAAAAAAGTTGAAATTCCAGCAAAAGAACATTTTCATATCATTACAGCATATTTCTTTCTGAAAGTAAGGTACCTATCATCCATCACTCACATCCGTGATACAATAATGTTTAAATGGAATCTTCTTTATTCTTGTGAACTTTACGGGGATAGAGAGTTAAATGAAATTTCCTATATTAGTATTTTTTTGTCATTACTTTGTCAAATGTTCTGCAGGGTGAATTATTGAAGTGTGAAGAGCTTCATCAGATTGCTAAGGAAGCAAAGGATAAGTTCCAGCAAATGCAAAGAGACTGTTTGATGAAGATTGATGAAAACTGTGCAGCTTTGACAGAAAAACACAAAATAGAGGTGGGTAATTACATGCAACAATATACCTGTAGAATGTAATTAAATCTTTGATTACAAAGTACAAAGATGTTTAAGAAATTATATAAAAGTGAGCTACATAGCTGTGACAAGTGTTTGCTGTGAAGACCTGAAAAATTGTGCGTCGTTGAACCCTATCTTTTAAGGTCCTGCATTTAATTTATCAATTTTTATTGAGTTATGATTAGAATGAAAAGATTTCTTGATAATATGAGTTGACAGTGTGGGTAGCCAAATTTACCATGCCAGCTTGTCATCTTTGATTGAGGTAGCAAAACTAGGTTTCTCGGGCTAAAAAAAAACTTTCGTCCTCAACTTTGGAATGTAGCACTTAAGACCTTGGGTTGTGAACTATTAGCATGAAGGTAATGTAAGTAGATATATCTACATTACTGGTATTTACTGGGCAGAAGGTCTGTTTGGGGGAAAATGTGTCAGAGGTCTTCAGTACCGCCCAAGGCTGAAGGCAAAGGGCTGTACTTGAGATCAATTCCAGAATTTTTCTATATGGACCAACAAAGGGTGGTAAATAACTTACTTATTTTCGTAAAGTTTCTGAACTATGGTTGATATTTTCAAAAGCTGCACTGTTTACTAGCACACAAGTAGCCAATCAGATTTGATGATTTAAAATTCCAGCCCACTGAGATACTTTTAAAACAAAATAAAGGAAATGATGGTCATTTTCTCTTCAGATCATGAGAATTGTGTCAGAAAAACTTGAAGCTGAAAATTGCTGGACAATTGAGAAGCAACAGGTATGTTGAGCAACTGAGTGGTTCTTTGATAATTATGTCTTGTTCTAATCAATACTAATTATTGCTCCAGTCATTAACCACTTGAATGCCTTCTCTGAAGGTAACATCCCATTTTCAGTACCTAATCTTTAGGTTTTCAGGGGGCATAGAAGGTGTGATGGTGTATAAACACTGCCTTTGATTAGTTTATGGAACAAAGCCGAAGCCTCTTGTGAGGATGTAATTAAAAATTACTGTTTTCCTCAACAAGGCCGTGGTTGAAAGATATGGAACCATATTGGAACACATTAACCCTTTAACTCCCAAGATCTCATTAGTAATTCTCCTTTCTGTCTGCCATACAATTCTTATGATGTCAATTTGGAGAATTTGGTACTGGATCAACTAATAATCCCCTAATTGATATTATATTTTATTCTCATCTCTTCTATGCTTGCTTTTGTATTGATATTGTAAGGAGAAATTCTCAGTCACTCATGGGAGGTAAAGGGTTAAGCCAGTTAGGTTAATTATACAATTATTCAATTTTAAAATAAAGGTTTTTATTAAATTAAAGGTTACCAAGAAAATTGAAGATCTTCAGAAAGAAAACAAGTTTCTGAAAGAAGAACTGGAGATTTTAAAAAGAACAGGATGTGATACTGTTGTAAGTAACAATAGTGGTTGTTTTTCAGTGGTAAACTTTTCTGCATTAAGTCAAACTTTGGTGTTTATTAAGTAATTAAGGAATTGTTTTAAGGAGTGTGTTGGTTTTAATTTTTGTAGAAACTGAATTCAGCTCTTCAAGAATCAAAGGCAGCCATTGAGTTACTGAAACAAAACTGTGAACAGTTGAAACAAGAAAAAGGGGTCCTAGAGAAGACAGTAAAGGATTTGAGTATGAAAAATGAAACTCTCTCATCAGAGGTGGACAGTTTGAAATCTAGGATAGCTGTTCTGGAAATGCAGACAAAACTTTCACGAGAAGCTAAAGCTGAGGAGCAGGGTAAAGCCATGGAAACTAATAAGCTAAAAGAACAGGATGAGGCTGAAATAGCTAAGTTGAAAGGACTTATTCAGAAACTAGAGAGTAAAAATGAAGCCCTTACAGAAGCTAACGAAAAACTAGAAAACGGCAACAAACTTTTGGAGTTCAATATTCAGGATTCTGCTCAGACCTTGAAGCACATGTACAAAGAAAGAGACTTGCTTAAAAACAGGATTACAGGACTTCTCAATGAAATAGCAGCTATGAAGTCACAAACACCGGAGAAACACACATTTGTTGACTTTGTCCATCTTAAACGGGATTACAATGCACTGAAAGATGAACACGAAAAGCTTCTCAAGAAAAGAGTCTCCAAAACGAATGTGTTACCAACTTTGAAGGGAGATGCCACAGTTGTTGCACGGGCAACAAGCGGTGGGACTGTGAGAAATGGAGCACAAGTGGGAGGGGTGGGTGCTTTCTGGTAGCAGAAGGCTCTTTTTACGCCAACTTCCCTCCCCCATTTCTTAATGCAGATGCTTTCCAAGGTAGATGATGTACCCTGGCATTTGGTGAAAAAAATGTTTTTCAGGTGCAACTTGCAATTATCTATTCCTGTTTTAAGCTAGGAGAGTTTTGTATTTCATCGTTTGGTACTGTACGTATAGTATATGTTGAGAATGTTTATGCTTCGTCAATGTACGTTAAACAATTTGAACTGGCTTTTTAAATAGAGGAGACTGAGATGATTCGGTCTGGTTAGTTTGGTAGATTTGTTTTTGGCAAACTATTTAACTCATAATTCTGCACAATTACCCGCTCAATCGATTTATCGATTTCCGTATTTATTCAACACAGTAATTATAAGGAGCGTATTTTACAAAGCTATTTATAGCAAACTCGGTATTTAACTTCGTTAACTTGGAAGGTATTTAACTGCAGACCCAAATGGTATTTGGTGTGATTTCTGTAGTCTTTTAGATTTCAGCAGCACCATGATGTACGAGAAAAGTAGTATGACATAGTAAGCGGATGTAATTGTAAATAACTAATTTTTCCATTGAAAATGGGGAAGTTAAACTGCCCTTAAAAACCTAGATTTCTGTAACTGATAACGAGACAAAAGAGAGTAGATTTTAGTATAAATGTATGAAAAGTGGGCGAATGTGCAATAAAATGTTTACACGTATGTTATATTACTATTAGTTAAGATGTGTCATCAGGGTTTCGATCACATTTAAAAGAAAGTCAATTTTGTCGGCTAACCTGTTAGCCGACGCGCTAACAGCCCTTATAAGACCAGAATCCAGTTACCTCCAGCGTTTGGAATAAAATTGAATCATATCCATCAAATACTGAAATTAAATGTAAGAAAGAAGATATTAATGCCTGTAATCTAACGTTCTTAATTTAGGTATAAGTAAATTTCAATAGTTTGGTCATAAAAATTCTTGCCTAAAAAAGGCAGTGATTACATCACACAACCTGACAGAAAGTTAAACAACTCCGGCAGATAACCGGAGTGTTAAGATTTCCGGTATGACCGCAGGTCGTTACCGCCATCACTAAAATGTTTCATGCACGGGTGTACGACTGTAAGACTGTGTCAGGTGCTTCAGGAAACACGTTATGTTTGTGGATACTGGACTAATATTTGACGGTTTCCACTCAAATCTTGACAAACTGCAGGTCAGATAACACCAATAAGATGGTGATATGAAGGGTAAAGAAGTCTGCTGGTGGCGCACGAATTAACTTTGTGTAGTGTCTTTACATCTGTTTTGATGCCTATCTTTATCTGGAAAAATATTTTGCTGACAGTCCCGTGTAAATGTTTTTGTCCCGTTTTTGGGTTTTTGTTTCAATGATTCTAATTGCCACCTGTTGTTCGCGCATCGATGGTTTTTGGTTCTTCTCTTGTCCCCATGGTAACGGTCTTGGACACGCCGGTGATGTTTGCTCAGCTTTCTGTCGTTGCCATCCTTCAAACACTTGCGAGGCGGGAATACAGAAATGTGCACCACCTGGAAGGTACAGAGACCGCTGTCATGCGACGAGACCGTGTGCGACTGGGCTCAGTTGTCATCCGGGAGTTCAGAAATGCTTCCACGTGCCTCGTCGTCATGGTGAACCGTGTGTAATGGGTTATGCATGTGGCAGCGGGCTTTCTTGTGAGCCAGGAGTTCAGGTTGGTTAAACCAAACAGTACCTTACTACAAGGTAGAACTGGCAGGTTCAATTCTTTCAATTTGAATCTAATTTATGAGATGAAATAATTTTTCAGGCCTGTTTTCACCATCCTCGCCAATACGAGGAGCCTTGTTCTGCGGGATATCCCTGTGCCCCGGGACTCAGCTGCCAACCAGGTTATCAGAGATGCTTGCATCACCCGAGGCTGGAAAATGAGAGATGTTCAGCAGGATACACATGCGCTGATGGTCTGGACTGTAGACTGTGTGACAAGCCATATGCTACTTGTCAGCTGTCACGCGTACCCTCTTTGACAGAGCAGGTACTGGGTATTCATATACAGAATTAAACTTATATGATTTGCATAACAATCATATGTTTGAAAAAAGTACATCGATGATAAGGTAATGAGCTTCAAGGCAGCTGGTTTTCGAGAATTTGAATTACAAAGAGAAATCGTAAAGACTGGACCAAGGAAAATATTACATAGATCCAAAATATGTATTCATCGATTGCACGTGTTCCCTAGGACTATGACAGACCCTTTAACAAAGTGGCATTCCTTGTTACCCATAACTCCTTTTCGCATTCTCCAAATTTTGCTGTATGGGCACGCAATCAACGTTTTAGCGTCAGTCAGCAGTTAAAGGATGGTGTGCGTGGTTTCATGTTAGACATATATCCAGGTAAAATCACCTCACACCTTGTTTTGTTTTTCTTCTTTGATGTTTTCTTTGTTAGACACATAGAGAAAAGAACGATGAGGTAGCTAAGACAATCACAGACACGGGAAAATATCCCGTAAAATCTAAGCTCGAGTGTTCTTGTTGTTCTTCTTCGTTACTTTCCTCTTTAGGGTGGGGCGCGGCGGAGGTTCGTCTTTGCCACTCGTCTTGTTTCTGGAGTGGTTCAACAGACTTGTTAAGCACACTGATTGAAATCAGAAAATTCCTGGAGAGTGACATTCGAGTGGTCATTACAATTATCTTTGAGGATTACTTAAAAAACCCCACGATCTTGAAAAACGTTTTTGACCAGGCAGGAATTTCTCCGTACGTGCTACTGAAGGACAATTGGGGTGACGGGTTCACCGATTGGCCCACTCTAAACGACATGCGCAGACTAGGTAGACTGGTTGTGTTCAACAATAATGGCCTTCACGGATTCCCTTATACTGAGTTCAACATGTGGAGATATGTTAGAGAGAACCGTTATGGAACCCCAAGTAGAAAAAAGAGGGTATGTTCTCGCGTGAAAGTTTTATACCAAACTAACAATTCACTAAATATACAAGGGAAAAATTTGTACACGAGTCAAATGGCCCACCCAGGCGGAGTTTACCCCGGTTTCAATAGCAAGAAGCGACTCAGAGTATTAGCACTCTTTCCTGGACGGGATGTTAGTTCATTGCAAGGTTACCCCCCAGCATTTCATCAAGTTTCCCGGACAATTTGCCGGTACCCATTTATACTCCTGGGTAAAGAGAGGTACTGTGAGACCCGGACCTCTGGACAATGAACCATCATAGGGTTTAGGGTTAGGGTTACCCGGAGTCAGTAGTGCACTAGGGCCACCGTGTCTCCCACCCCTAGCGAAGATACAAATTTCTCTTAAAATGTACAGTTACTGTAGACAGTGGACTCCTAAGTTCTGCTTGACACCTCTTGACTGTTGGAAGGTTTGGTAATTTGGTCCCTTTTTTTAGTAACCTTTTGTCTCTTTCGTCTTACTCGTTGTCACAATGGGTTTGTAAGTTAAGCACAACAAATGAAATCTTTTCTATTTCAACGTGCCATAAAATCTCGTGCAGGAAATTGTGTTTCGGCTGAACTTTCTCAGATCTTAATTTCTCTTTTTCGAAGACCTCGTTTTTCGCTGATCTCTGTTTGCTCCTTAAAGGAATGTGTAGACCGCGGAGAGTCTCGGTGGAACGCTGACTGGAATGACCACTGGAGCCTGGTGTTGGTAAATTGGTTTAATACCCTGGCCAATCCTCTTCAGCCATGTCTTAATTCTTTCGAGGAGATAAGAGAGAAGTTAAACACTTGCCATGACAAATTTGGTTATTGGGCAAATTTTATAGCGGTCAATTATTACACTGCAGGCTCAGGAGGCGGAGCTTTTCAAGCTGTCAAATGGCTGAATAATAAGTTCAAGGGTAAGTGAAGGTCTGGGGTAATTGTTAATTGGGTATCGTGCTATTTATTTTGATGACATAAAAAGTATGGGAGGTTCAAATTTATTTAAGGTTTTCATATTCACCTTCAACAGCTACCCTTGGGTCTGGAGCTGAAGTCGTGCCGATGCCTGCTAATCGCTAGCGTAGGTGAAATCATTTCAGTTGAAATACTCTTGTCGCTGTGACAGGTTTCCGAGACCCTCCTTTTTCCTTTGCCAGATAAATTACTAAAAGATTTCGTCTCCACTAAGTCTAACAAGCCTCTCTATCGAGCACTGTTAAAAAAAAATGATAAAAGTTTAAAAAACATTTCCTTATTTTCTTGACACGCCTGTTAGAAATTTGCTTTTATTTCTTGATCGATAATCTTAGATGAGATGATTTGACCTTCCCTTGTAACAATTTTACCTAACGCCTGGTTTGATTTTACCCATAAGCCATGAAAGCGCGCTCTGAAATTTGAAATCGTTCGTCTTCCTTTATGTCTGTATTTAGGGGAAACTTCAGTCTCAAAGATAAGAAAAGCATCACTTATTCCATTCCCTGACATGGTCACTCATTGGGATACAGCTAATCAACAGCGTCAGACGAATCCCATTCCAAGGCAAGACGTGATCGACGGACCAGGGTATGGTAAAGGGTTTCACACCCTGTCAGATGTTCTTTCTCATATACTGAAACACCGTCTCTTTAAATGGGGAGAAAGAAAGAACACAACTAAAATCATCAGCACTGCTTCAGCAACAAATATCACGGCTTCAAACGCTTATATGGCTTCACAAGGGAAGATTTCATCAAATGAAAAACATAGCCAAGATAGTAAGCTTGGGAAATCATCGACAATATTTCAAGATTTTGGAAGAAATGATACATTTTTGAAACGAAATGATCCTTTAAGAAACCATAGAATCCAAATTAACCACCATTTGAGAGAGACAACACAATGGAGAGTTTCCCGATCAAGGATTAAAGTTCACCGTCATAGAACTCGGAATAATTATTTGCCTTCGCTCTCTTCATTTAAACATGAAAAAAGGAAAAAACTAAAATTAAGACTTGGGACAACGAACAAAGGAAGGGGTCTCGAAAGAGGATCGCAACGTAAATTTAGATACAAGGTGCAGCCCGTTAGCCGAATGTTACTGAAGGCTTACGGGCACAACACGATCTTCCCAAAACTTAGTCCCACCCTGAAGATACGTAATCTTCGGAAACAGGTGGCTCGGTTGAGAGCCAAGCTTAACAGGTTTATTCACTTGGTGCACCATCGAAAAAGGAAAAAGGCTCTGCCCTTTAAGCCCCTCCCAACTCTCAGCCGTACATTTTAATACAACAGTGCGGCTTTTTCTTAAAGTTTGATTATCTTTGTAAAAATTCTTGAACTTTGTGAATTCTTTTCCCAATTTAAATTTTCAAATTTTTTTTCTGTCCATTTTTGTCTTTGTTTTCTATTTTAACATGTTGATCCACACAAGATAACAGGGTTCATGACAAACCAGTAAATTGACAGCCCACGCCCGTTACATGGCGTGATAGATCTAACGATAATTGTCAGCAAGCAATAGAATGAAATTCCTGCACGATTATTAAAAGAATTTGGAAAAAGCTTCCTAAGGAAAAGCGCTTGATCGTTATTTCTCTTTTTTTTTAAACTCAGGGGAATTCTGGTATTTTACTATTGAGCGACCACGCCTAGCGAATGCGGGGGTTTGGGGTTAGGGTATTAAGGTTGTTTATGTCGCTCAGGCAAAATGGTGGACAGGTGGTACGAGCAATTGGCGTAGAACAGTGTTAAGTCATTGCCAAATAAAGATCCTCGGATTCCTTAAGAATAACACCTATCTCATATAAATTACAAATTATATATGACTTGGTGCTTCACATCTTACAAATAAGTTTCCAGCTCAGGCGAACAAGTTATTTTCTTTAAATGGCGGCACAACAACTCCCCCCTGAAGAACTTGTGAGTTATTTGGCCGAAGAAGGGAAGGATTACTGTGTAACTCATGGCATCGTAATGGAAGCGAAGGATTCTTACCATGCAGTCCATCATGCCCCCTTTACTCTTCTTCCAACACCGTTTCCGAAGCGATTGTTTGCGCAAGCGAAAGAGGTGCAGAAAGATTTCAACTTGCTGGTTCACAGAGTAAGTCAAGATCACGAATTCCTTAAGGGAGCTCTTCAAAGGTAAGCTTCTGTTTCAAGTAAATATAAGCAGCTGCATGATCCTTTTGAAAACAACTAAATCTCTCCAGCTTTAAAGGTGTGGGTTAAAAATTATGAGATAGTTCGTAAAATTTATTCAACACATAAAGACTCTGCTGGTTTGTTTCTCTGCAAAACTTAAAGAAATATGAGCTGCATATCATATCGCGATTAAATTCTTTTCTTGGTTTAGAGTTCTTAAGCAAATTTAAATCCTGTCCCCATGTGTCCCTTGTTATACTCTGAGGAAATGTAAGTTGTAAATTAGTCTGTCTAGATGAATTATGATGTCTGAACTAAGAAATATATGCTGAACCACAAACTATGTATCTTGTTGGGAAAACTCTATTGGGCCTCCGATGTTTTGAATAATTAGGGGAAATTTTTTAAAAAAATATATCCATTTTTTGTCTCAAGCACCATTGAAGTTGATGCATTCACAGCCAAAATATATGAAATATATGAAAAGACAAGGAAGGAGGGACTTGTACAGGTAAATTGTCCCCTACTTAGACATTTCCTTGCAATACATTCACTTTCTTAATTCAATTTTAAAAGATTGTTAGGCAAATATTTTATTCATAGTTAATACAGAGCGTGCATTGTATGGTCATTGATAAATATCTCTGGCAAAGCTTTTTGGTTCTGGGGTTTAAATTGAAATAGGTACTGTTTCAAGCTAGAATAGTCACCAAAGATGTACTGATTTAAAATTTGGAGTATAAAAATCAGTAAATGTTTCCTTTTGTATTTAGTTTTGCTAACAAAGTGATTTGAGATTTTCACTCTTGGAATAACTTTCTGACAGGTCTATGGGCACAAATTTTAAAGTGAGAGGGGCGATCAATTGGCACCAACTGTGTTATACTTAAATTGGTTAAAGAATGGGGGAGGGGTGGTCTAGGGGACATGTTTAAAAATAAAATTGTGAAACTTTTAGAGTGTTCTGATGCAATTTGGCACAATTTGTTGGAAAAATTTGCTGGGGGGAGGATTTGATTTCCCTCTTTTTAACAACTGATACCTATAGCTCTATCTTCTATGGTTACTTCACAGCCAATCTCATTGGGGATATTTCGATCCGACTACATGCTGGATGGTACCAATGGATGGTCAGAAAATCTTACCATTAAGCAGGTTGAAATCAACACAATTGCTTCTTCATTTGGTGGACTAAGTGCACAGATGCCAGGGCTTCATAAGTAAGATTACCTGAACTATGTTTATGTTAGTAAAAGAAAATTATTATTATTTCAACTGATTTTAAATTTTTTACTAAAAGAATGCAAGGCTTCCATCTGCATTCATGGCCCTTCACATTTAGGTTTACATGTCAAAACTTAATCACAACAGTAATATATAACTTGGTTTTGTCTACTGAGTTGTAATGAAGTTTATTATTACCTACCACCACAATGAGCAATAACCTCCTTTGTGATACTGATATGTTTATTATTTCTGAATTTATTTTCCAGTTTCATTTTAGATCTTCAGAATGGTCTGGAACCAAGTAACAAAGAAAGGGTACAGTTTTATAGATTTTGTGACCATTGTAGCTTGTGTTTTTTTTTCAAATTTCTGTCGAACCCTTTGATCCCTAAGAGTGACTAGTATCTTATTTCTTCCTTCAATATCAGCCCTGAATCACACATTCATGTCATAAGAATAACGAAAGTGATCACCAACTAGAGAAGCTCTTTATTGTTAAACAAATTCTCCTTGTCAGTACCTCAGGAAATGTATAGAGAACAGTATGGAGAATATTCATATTGATGATAAGGTGTAAAAAGTTAATTCATAAACTAAAGATTTGCAAATTTATCTTTTTACATAGTTCATTGCTTGTGGAAAATTGTGCATCTATGCTTCTTTTTGTTGAGTTCAATAGAAAGCAGCTTGTGGCAATTGATCATTGCCTACTTAATACTTCTTAATAGGATGTATGACTTGCTTTGCCCTTCATGGTTTATTTATTGGTCATAATGGCCTACTGACCAATAAATAAGGTAAGCAAACACAGGCTTCTCATCCTATTGAGAAGGCTTTGGATGTGCCATTGATCTTATCATATAGGTTCTGTGGTGAACTTTTTTATGAAGCCTACACTGATGTACTTATTTTTCATTTTCTTTCTCTAGCTTCCTGAAAATACCTCTGCTATTGGTGTGGCTGAAGGATTTGTGGATGCCTGGAAACTCTATGGGAGTGAAAAGTAAGCATGTGTTCAGAGCAGATAAGAAAACAATTGTTTTTGAACCAAGTCAGCCAATGGGGAACAAATTATCAGTAGTTGGCTTGCTGAAGTCCAGTCACTGTGTTGCATTATTAGGCCAGATTCTCCACCCTCACAGTGCTTATCTCCCCCTGAGTTATAAAAGAGTACCAGTGAACTTGAGGAAATGAAGGGAGGGAGGGCATATACAAGGAATTTGCCTCTCTTTAGGGTAGAGGTAATAAGGCTTCTAGCTACTTTATATCACAGAATCAAGGGTTAACTCTAAGACTTACAAGCCAATATTTTTTAACTTCCAAGTTTATTTCTTGGGGCATTCAGTCAAAGGCATGGATAAGTTTTACATTTTTAGTTTTTTAACTCATATTAGGGCAGTCGTGATGATGGTTGTTAGTGAAAATGAGAAAAACAGATTTGATCAGAGATGGATACAGCACCTTATGAGAGAAATGTAAGTGTACATAAAACTTCACCTATAACATTTTATCTTGTTATTGTGGTTTTAAATGTTGGTCTTTGTAGCTTTGTATGACTAATGCAGCTATTTTTGTAAATAAAGCTGTCTGGCAATTGTGAAGATCCTGTTGGATTTCCAAAGATGCTTCCATAAAGCTTTTTGAACTACTTTTTGAAATTACTTTCTGTTAGTGTTTGTAGCCATTGGAAAAAAAAGGAAAAGGTTCTCTTATATCTACCAAACAAAATTTGTTTCAAGTTCTTCACATCCATATTTGGTATTATTTGTGATTAAATTTTAGCCACCCTTCTGCACGTATGATAAGAAAAACCTTCAGCGACATTGGCCAAACAGGGGAACTAAAGGATGATAAATCGCTGATTGTGTAAGCACTTTGTCTTCTTCCTGAATTGTTTGTTTATGTTATTCTGAATTTTCCCTTCTTGTTGTTGTATCTCTTTCACTTTCAACACAATATTGCTCATTATTGTAGGTTAGCAGTACTTGTACAAATGTTCCATCTTAGACTTATTTCTGAAGAGTCACCATGGACAGAGGACTTTGGTTTTGATAACGAGCTCTTTGTGTTTGTTTACAGGGATGGATATGAAGTCGCTGTTGTTTATTTCAGGGCTGGATATGATCCAGATAATTATAAATCAGAAGTGGTTTGTAAAAATGTCAATTTTTTCTCCTTTAGTTGTGACTAAAAAGGAATATTTTATTATCATTACATTTTTAAACAGAGGAGTGATTACAAAAAAAAAAAAGATACCATGGAAGAGTTATTGTTTGATTTAAAATGTAATTCCTCAGGGCTAGAATTATGAAAAATATGTGGCAGATGGTAAGGAGAATTGATCATGAGATCTCAGGAGGAGAAGTTATTATGAGCTCACCTTGAAAAAGTTATCATCTTTTATTGGGAAACTTTCATTGTCTCCTTTTTATATATGCCACTTGCAAATCCTATTGCATAGCCTTAATGATGGCCCAAGTCTTCTGCAATCACCAGCAACTTACACAGTCCCTTATAGGGAAGTTGGATGTGTTCGCCTTAAAAATGCTTTCTTACACATTAGCAACATTGCTCTCAACCGCTTAGCAGTTCAAATTTCTTCTTACCCTAACCCCAATAACCTTTACTTTCCTCAGTACATTCCATAAAATTATAGCTCTGTGAAGTTGATACTTATCAAACTATCAACCATTTGATGTATTTCCTCATTCATGTCATCTCTGCTGAAATTTTTTTTAAACCATTGAAATAAAGTACTTGATGCAGTCTCTCCAAATGGTGTTAGGGTTTAAGGAGCTTTTCAGTGGTTGGCTGAAGGTCTCATGTTTTTTATCACATATCTAAACCCTATGTTTAACATCTATTTGACATCTGATTTTTTCCCTACACAGGACTGGAACACTCGTCTGATGATGGAAAGATCCAGAGCTATCAAGTGTCCATCAGCTGCAATTCATCTTGCTGGTACAAAGAAAGTTCAACAGGTGCTAGCTTCACCTGGGGCATTGGAAAGGTCAGTAGTATGAGTTGTGAATGTTCTCATTTGGATCTGTATTCTTTCAGTATAAAATTGAGTAAGGGGATGCTCAAGAGTGGAATGGACAAAAGAAATAAATTGGGTAAGGGAAGGTTTATATTCTCAAGTCTTATTGAAACTTATGGTATTACTTCAGACCTGAATTAGATAATCAGAAATCCAGTATGACCA